ATATGCAGCATAATTCCATTTTTTCAAAACTAAACAATTTAACAATTAGAGGTACCAGTAATTGTAATAATCAATTTTAAATTAATTCCAATAATTTGTTATTTCCTCAGATGAAATTACAGTATTGATGATAAAATTATTTCATTTGACAATGCCAATAATAATTTTTGTATCTCTTTAGATGAAATTATAGTGTGGATGATAAAATTATTTCATTTGACAGTTAAATGTTAAAAACTTATAAAATGTAGTCATACAAAAAACCGCTGATATATTGACCCTGTAAATGGACAAACTATCAGAAATCAATTATATATAAATGTATTCAATCATTTTAATGTTTAATATAATATATACACCTGAATACACAGACGATTCTTCCCTATGTAGAACAATGTCAGCATTATTTCTATTTGAGCAAAGGACACATCGTAAAACTTCCAGCATTTGAATAGGTTTGTAACGACAATACTGTACCAAACTAAGGCTGAATAAGCTGTACTTTAGAATGTTTGAATGCATTTATTGAAGTATTATCTACACATGTATAAACCGAAACAAATCCTGTTGCAATCTTTTTAGCGTGGGGAAGCGCTCAAGCGAGTAAGGGCATCCATATACCTTAAGCCTTTACAAGAATGTATTCTCCAGGCAATTCATACTTAAAATAATATCCAATGCAATATTATATTTGCAAGGAGAATGCCATCTCCGTGAGACAATTGACGATTGTGTTTGGTCATGTTCTATGTCAATAACCTGAAATGACTTAGTTTGGATATTCAAGTTGTAAGAAAACCACATCAAGTTTCAGAAAGAGGATATATTCTGATGAATGCAAAAAGCTGAAAAAATGTATCGCCCAAAAATTAAAAAAATAATGGAATTGACCTCAAGAAACAGAAGTGTTATAAACAAGATTTATTTTAAATAAACTTCAAACAAACCTTGTACACTAAATTGAAATTGTCATAGATTTAAATAGAAGAAATAAAAGTACTGTTACAGAGCTGACAATACTTTTAAACTCACATGCAGGGATATTGACTGAAATGTAATATATACACCAATTAATCAATTAAGAAACGAGACAGTCAAATTGATAAAGTTTTATGAATCAAACCCTGAAGCATTAAATCAAAATCAACTACATTAAGGAATTACTTACACACGTGAAATTAACCTACCCAATAAAATTTGTTTGCAAAATTTAATTTTGGAAAGTTAATATTGTTGATATAGGCTTTTCGTTTTTGAATTCTGATCCCCTATATTAAATTCCTTGGCTGTTTTTTACATGAAAAGTCTGTGCCATGAACCAAACTGCGGGGATGGAGGCCGTGAAACAATTTCAGTCTATACCTCTGATTGAGGGAACGCGTCCAGAGTGCGCTACCTACCAAGAAAGCTAGGAATCACAGCCCTACAAACAACATCAAAGGCTGCCAGGAGATAGGTACATGTAACAGAGAAGCATGATCAATGTACATGTTCACCTGGGCCTTTCTAGTCAAAAGGCTGATAAGCTTGGGACCGATGCTGAGGAAAATGTTTGAAAAACTATTTTTCACTCATTCCCTAAACACCACTGGTATTTTCACAGATTTTAGACCGCTACAAACATTTTGAGTTCTTACACGTGCAAGTTTCGGCCATCGATCAGTAAATAAGCAATGAAAATACTTAAAATATACTCTCAGCTGAAAACGTAAGAAAGCTTGACATAAAAGAACACGAAACCCTGTGTTTAATGTTGTGTACCTCTGTAGACTTTATAAACTCCATAAATCGAGGGGATCACGGTTCAAATTCCCTCTCTCTCTGACAGGGTAAAGCAAGTTCTGAACTTTTCCTCTGCGCTCCATTTACAGAAAGACTCAGTCTCTTGCACTATTTAATCTTTCCTGTACGCCCCATTTCACAATTCTTGTACAGCGACCATGAAGAAGAAAGCCATTAACCATCTATTTTCAGTAAATAAAACTGAAAGCCTGTTTCAGATATACCTTAAAGATGAGAGACGTGGATCTGTCTTCAATCTACAGTAATCGAGAAATAAATTGTTTGACTGTAGTAGAAATATGAATTTTATTGAGATAAACACATATAAATGGCTCCATAACTCATTATATTTACAATAATATCATTCCACAGGTCTTACAGCAAATGAAACAAATATCTGAAGTTATACCTAGAGAGAAACACTAACTACCGGTATAACTGTGGTGTTCACGTTCATCTATGTACACAAGTACCTTGCATAATCATCTAACTTGATATAAAACACATCTATCTTAAGGCCAAAAGGACTGCCTGGTCTCAAACCAGATATCTTTTATTTCAAGAATAATTCATTTGTTAATTTAATTTGTTGATTTAATTTGTTAATAATTAGCATAATCTATTTTAGACAATGTGAGAAAAACTTCATCTTTAACCAAAAAACTTCTTTTCAAAATATTTCTTTCGGGTAACAATTTGACATAAATCAACCTATGTCAGATTAATTGGCCTCTAGACAAGACTAAAACAATATCTGACACTTTAATGCTATCAGTAATGACCTTCACCCAAGGCTGCCACCTTGGTAAGTATAATGACCTATGAACTTGATACTTTAAGTATGGCTTTGACCTTTGACCCTGTGACATTTGTTTGTACATTTTTGTAAAATGATTTGTGACCCTGGTACTTTGACCCTTATACCTGTAACACCTTTGACCCTGGCTATGACATTTTTGCACTACCATACTAATCAAATATCATTGATTTCTGACCCAGATACTTTGGGTATTGTTTTGCAAGACCCTAAGAAATAAGGTAACCTTAATTTGGATTCGATCCCCTTGTGGTGACCCTTCACTCAATCTAAAATTCATTTACAATGTATCAGTAGTACTTTGACCAATACATTGAGTCACTGCAATGTCATGACCTTTGACCCTATTTTAATACCAGTGACCTTATATCATATTGACCTTTTGGCCCTCAATTTTATAATGATGGAAACAGGCTAGACTGGTTGTACTGAGTGATGAAGACCATTAAGGATGCTTGCCCCTCCTGTACCTGTAATTAGTCTGACCTTGGCCGCTATGGATCTGGCCCACATGTGTGCTGATCAATAACACACGTTACCAGTAAATAATAGCTTCAATGTTTTACTGGATGCTACAGCTGAAGTTTCATCTCTGTAAAGTAGATACCATGGAAATTATTTACACGTGTCTTTTTTACTTCATTTTTTTATACTTCATCTTTCATTGTATTTTTCCTTCGATTTATCTTATCAACTGATCTGAAAATGAAGTCAATTATCTCATTTCATTGCAACAGAAAAAAACTAATTTTGAGAAATTCACTGAATCACCTGCAGTCCATAACAGTGAAACCAGAAGAAATTGATTAACTGATAAGAGTCTACCTCAATACATACTGCGCTACAATACACATGTCTTTAAACAAATATATCAAAGTTTATATACTATCTAGTTTTACATTATGGTTTACATATACAACAGAGTTTACTGCTTATAAAAAAAACAATTTTACATTAAAGTTGAAATACAGGGAACAGTAAAGTTTACAATTGGAACCAGTTACCCACACCTGGACATACGAGAGCAACAGGATCTAATGAAAGCAGTGTGATAGATACCCACGGACATACAGTTTTCACTGTGGTGATCAGAAAGAGCTGGAGTTGGTTTCTTCTAAGCGGGTTACTTTTCTGACATCATGTAAAGTAAGCAATGTTGTGTGAAGATTTTTGTCCCGTTTTTGTCCTGTTTTGTGTCAGATGTAGTTAACACAGAACGGATTTGCTTACATTTATGAAGATTTTCAGGACTGTACATGTACACATGAAATTATAATCATTGGACACAGGATGATGTCTCTGAGGCCGTAAACTACATTACCAACTTTCTGAGTGGAACATCACAGTGGTCATGGTTACGAGGACAATATACAAATGCTATGGCCATTTTGTAAACCTAGATCCAAATTAATGAAAACCCTGACGTTGTCCATCGACTATAACAATGATTCCTCCGAATGTGAACCAGACATTCATTGCAAAAAGCAGGAAGTGTTCTTGAAATCAAATTGATGACAACTTAACCCCCCTCCCCCCCTGTCCCATCCCCTTCCTTCAACATTTTATGATCATGTTTGCTGATCGTAACTCCTACAGGGTAATCTGTCGACTAGGCATTTATTCAGTACTACACACATGCATAATATTCAAAATACCAGAAAATATCTTGACTGTGCTAATTTGTATGGACATACCAATGAAATGTTAACCATTACAATCTTATTCTTTCTCTTTAAATGTCCCACAGAAACTATTTACACAGTCTAGCCAGTCAACGGTACATCAAACTGAAGATTCACGGCAGAGCTGGTTCATCTCTCAAAAATAGAGACGACCGCTTTTTCTCTGCCGAGCATGCAAAAAGCTGGTCTACGTTTTGACGCAACCTACATATGTATGGATGTTGTATTAGTGGAAATCAATGGGTGGAAAGCCCAGTATATGTAGCTATTACGTGAACATGTTACATAGTAAATGTCATGTACGAGTTCTGCCCAGTCGTACTTAGCTGTTGATACACTGCGAATGAGTGGGAGGGTGAAGATATGTGGGAGGGGGTTTTTAGAACGAGTCTCCATAAATATATATATATATCCGTCCGTCTGTACTGTACAAAACCCATCATCATCTACAATGACATAATTTTGACAGCATGCTGGCTTATAAACGGTCATGCAAAAAATAACTTCACGATACACCACTGTATCAGACATAAAAGAAGGTGAAAACTTGGGGTTTTTTCAGTCTCTGGTCAATAAAATTCAAATTTTCATGTACAGAAAACAGGCTTCAATAGCCAGCTCTTACGTCCGTGATGGAGAGTGTGTCAGCTACACCATACATCCATATTTATACATAAAACAAAAGACTCGTTCAATGTTGTGTGGTGGAAAGTGCTTACCTTTGATATCTTCGCTCATCTGCAAATCTACGTAGTCGGCTCTAGGATCCGGGACTGGCAAAGAAATCAGAACAACACATTAATTGTAATTCACCATTCTTAAAGTACTTCAACCTCATAGAAATTTAAATACATTTCTTAAAATTCAGTAGTTTGTTCAAAAAAATATTTATTAAAATTCAGTAGTTAGTTCTAATAAATGTATGTATCAAGTAAGTTTGCTTAATGAACTGAACAGACAGAGATAGGGTTGTACAAAGTGCCAGCACCATAGAGTGGAAATTTTCATATTTGAACTTCAGCCTAACTTCTTCAAAGATCCAAGGGGCCAGGACTCAAAATTCTACTTTAAAAAAAGCACTGTATTTATTATATCTGAAATGGTATTTACCATATTGATTCTATAAATAACCCTATCATTTCAGAAGAAAAATCTGAAAACAGGAGTAGAGAGTGGGCAATTATTGGAAACAACTCTAAGGCATAAACACTATCAGTGAGCAATTATCATAAACAAACATTAAAATATAACATGCATAACTAGTACAGGTCCTTGAACAATAATTAAATATTCTAGGGTGCAAAAATAACTTTTCAACAATCTTCATGTAGGGCAATCAGCAAGACCCAAAAAATTGGTTCCTGGTCTGGGTCAAGTGTTCGAGCAAGGTTGGACACAGCAGAAGTTTTTGAAATACAAACATAACGTTAAGACTGTGCCAGTTTTTTTCTTATGAAGTACAGGGCAATCACTGGAAGATTAATAGAACCAAAATCGTAATACAACAGGAAGAGTCTTCGGACAGGAATCAAGATCAATAGTAAATTTTACCAGGAATGTTTCTCCTTGTTAAGTAAATGAGGGTCTAACACTCTAACTCAGTCATGTGTTTAGTAAAATAGTGTTTAAATATTCGATGATATAAAGCTTTCGTACGATAATAAACCCAACATGAATAATACACTCCTTGTCATAGCATAGTTATTTCACTTGTAAAGTGCCCCGTTTTGAATCTTAAACTACCACAATAATCCTGAGCCTTAGGCATAGCACAGCCATACTCAAACTCACCGACATCATATCCAGAAAAACCCACATGCTAAAACCTCGCTTCCTGGACAATAAAACGATATCATAATCAAACCGGAAATTTTAATTTGAAGGTTTGAATCCCTGAAATTAAGCACTGAATATATTTCCAAATGAATTTCCCAACAGTGAAAATTTTATCTGGAATACAAATGCATTGCGATATGAATCTATAGTGTAGCTGATTATTGTAGTCTTAACTCTAATAGATACTAACATATTTATAAAACAGCTCCAATGAAGCGACAAATGTATTCAGCTAGCATGCTCCTTTAAAAAATGTACTTTAGAATCTTGAAATTCTAGGAAACAATACAACTTCTATGGGTATTGAGGATTGTATGCCTTGATACCCAAGCGCAGTCACCCACAGTTTCGGCTTAACTATAGAAATCACAAGGGCTATTACTGTTTGTTTCAACAAGGTTTTTGTGTACAAATATTGTACCAGGTAGTATATATGTAGCAGGGACATAACATGCCAGATGATGTTTATGATATTGATCATCGACTTATTGATGTATAGTGTCACAGCCCTGATGGCCCCCACATGTATACTATATACTACCTGATAGACACACATTTTATTATAGGGCCTTGAACTGGTACCATATACCGGATAATTATACACCATGTAACAAAATCTAATCAACTCCGTTGGTTATTCACTCAGTTATGATTTTCTACATATAAAGCAATCACAGGCAGTAAATATAAACTCATACACAGTGAATATGAAATGTGTACTAAGGGCATTAACTCCGCTGTGTGACCTCGTAACAAACATTGCACGTTCTGGGACTTTCACATCATTCACTTGAAATTGGCAATATTTGTTTTGTTTGATTAAATATGTTTTGCAGTTTACTCAACACATATCCCTTATTAAGCTTTTATGCAGAAATATCAGAAAACAAAAATATGAAATTCAACCAGGTAATAATATAAGCTCAATATAACCTGCATAAAACTTCTTATAACTACCAATGCTTCAATATACCAGGTGAATCTATGTTACTATGTGATATCTCAAGTCATAAAACAGAAGACCTTTCCTATTAAGACTATGGACTAAGACTATTTGTCCTGTTATCAGTGATGGGCAATTAGTCTAAAATCATAATCGATAATCAGTTTGTAATTGAAAGTGGTGAACCGCTTGATGATCAATTGCATATTCGGTTTATAATTTTATGGGACTGAATACCCAAATACAATGAGAACACTAGTGTTACATCAATACACAGAGTTTTAAACTATACATTTGGTTCTTTTATAATAATGAATTGATTTCAGGCAACTTTTATGCAGTTTTGTCAATTAAACAGTAAAAAATTTAAGAATAATGACTTTCAATGCATAACTTCCATTTATATACATTTGACACTTTGATTTCAATAATGAATTAAAATATCAATTATTGAATTTGTAATCAATAAGTGGAATCGGAAAGTTCAAACCGATCAATTTTTATTATAATCGATCATCAGCCCATCACTACCTGTAATTGACCACGTCCACTTTGTATATATATATGTACAGTAATATATCATATTACTTAATTTCATTAAGAAACAAGAAATATATTCTGTGCATAAAAACAAACATAAGTAGTATGTACTGAGCTGTCAAGAGATCTAGACCTGGGAATTTGTCAGTAAGACTATTGTATATGTATATGTACTTAATGTTTTTTTAAAACATATTCGATGGAAATCGCACTGGACCATGGGACTGCGAAAATTCGATGTAAGTTTTAACAACAAGAGCAAACTGTATATCAGGTAAGTGTCAACCTAGTTTGAATATAAAGTAGTAATGTAGGCGCCGTTCCTAATCCCGGACAGAAAAACTGCTGTAACGGGACCTGTTACCAGTACAAGTGTACCCAGGCATATGATGGATCATCAGTTGGTTGCTGGATTCTTATAATTAGCTTCAAATCACATTACCTGTGACAGCTTATACCTTTAATTCTGCTTAGAACTTAACACCAAATTTAAAGGACAATTTCCAGAGGAAGGCTTCATAATATACTACAGTAATTCTGGCATCTATCCAATCATTTTCCTGTAAACTTCTTGGGTCCATTTTTTTTCTCTCAAATTAAAACAAATACAAATTCCTCAAAATTGAATAAATCTAAATAAAATTTTAAAATGCAGATTTGAGTGATTGAAGACCAAATGTACGACAAATTCAACCACAAACAGTAAAACATAAAAAAATATGATTTATTAGATTTCGTATGATAAATGTATTTTTCCTATTTCATCATTTAGAGTACTAGTGCCATCAGTTCAGTGTGTCATGGTTGAATCCTACCCCAGGATATAATGAAATGTTGGGAAAAACTGCTTTATCAAGAATCTGAGATCTGGGGCCTGTAAAAAGGCTTCTGAGGTATTTGTCACTTAGTTTTATAAATCTATGTTAGGAAATACCTGTCCAGTACTTAAGACTCTTTACAGAAAGACTACGGTACAACCCATCTCGTAAGTAAGTTCACACAAAGCTTGAGTGTCAGGAAATGTCTGTCCAGTGCCTGTTGAGTCTTTACAGAAATACTACTGTACTACCCATCTCGTAAGTAAGGTTGTCTGTCCAGTACCTGTTGAGTCTTTCCAGAAAGATTACGGTCTACCCATCCCGTAAGTAAGTGCACACAAAGCAGGAGTGTCAGGAAGTGTCTGTCCCGTACCTGTTGAGTCTTTACAGAAAAACTACCGTACTACCCATCTCGTAAATAAGTTTGTCTGGCCAGTACCTGTTGAGTGTTTACAGAAAGACTACTGTACTACCCATCCCGTAAGTAAGTGCACACAAAGCAGGAGTGTCAGGAAGTGTCTGTCCCGTACCTGTTGAGTCTTTACAGAAATACTACGGTACTACCCATCTCGTCAATAAGTTTGTCTGTCCAGTACCTTTTGAGTCTTTACAGAAATACTACTGTACTACCCATCTCGTAAGTAAGGTTGTCTGTCCAGTACCTGTTGAGTCCTTACAGAAAGACTATGGTACTACCCATCTCGTAAGTACACAGTATGTATAAGTTCACTCAAAGTTAGAGTGTCAGGAAGTGTCTGTCCCGTACCTGTTGAGTCTTTACAGCAAGACTACGGTACTACCCATCTCGTCAATAAGTTTGTCTGTCCAGTACCTTTTGAGTCTTTACAGAAATACTACTGTACTACCCATCTCGTAAGTACACAGTATGTATAAGTTCACTCAAAGTTAGAGTGTCAGGAAGTGTCTGTCCCGTACCTGTTGAGTCTTTACAGCAAGACTACGGTACTACCCATCCCCTAAGTAAGTTCACACAAAGCATGAGTCTCAGGAAGTGTCTGTCCAGTACCTGTTGAGTCCTTACAGAAAGACTATGGTACTACCCATCCCGTAAGTAAGGTCACACAAAGCTTGAGTGTCAGGAAGTGTCCGTCCAGTACCTGTTGAGTTTTTACAGAAAGACTATGGGACAACCCATCTCGTAAGTAAGTTTGTCTGTCCAGTACCTGTTGAGTCCTTACAGAAAGACTATGGTACTACCCATCTCGTAAGTACACAGTATGTATAAGTTCACACAAAGCTAGAGTGTCAGGAAGTGTCTGTCCCGTACCTGTTGAGTCTTTACAGAAAGACTACGGTACTACCCATCTCGTAAGTAAGTTTGTCTGTCCAGTACCTGTTGAGTCTTTACAGAAATACTACGGTACTACCCATCTCGTAAGTACACAGTATGTATAAGTTCACACAAAGTTAGAGTGTCAGGAAGTGTCTGTCCAGTACCTGTTGAGTCTTAACAGAAAGACTATGGTACTACCCATCCCGTAAGTAAGTTCACATAAAGCTTGAGTGTCAGGAAGTGTCCGTCCAGTACCTGTTGAGTCTTTACAGAAAGACTACGGTACTACCCATCCCGTAAGTAAGTTCACACAAAGCTAGAGTGTCAGGAAATGTCTGTCCA